CGCGCAGTGAATAAATTCAAGAGTGATTTATCATTATGGTTGCAGTATATCGAGTACGCCAAGAGTAATAAAGCCGGGAAATTGCTGAGCAAAATATTTGGGAGGTAAGAAACTACAAGAGTTTATCATATTTTCATCACGTTAAACTAAGCATATCAATATAATTAATGTTATCAGTGCACTGCAACTTCATCCGGCTAAATCATCGTTATGGGTCCTTGCTGCAAAGTGGGAGTTTGAAGAGAATATGAACGTCGGTGCTGCAAGAGGTAAATAACTTGCTTAATGTCTTTCCCTTGATTGCTTTCTTCATTATATAACAAGCTTTTCTTTTTCATATCAACAAGTTCTTATGCAGCGGGGTCTTCGTCTAAACCCAACGTCTACTCTTCTTTGGCATGAGTATTTCGGGTTGGAATTAGCTTATGTAAAAAAGATTAAAACCCGCCGTGAAATATTGGGGCTTTCTACTACTGCTTCTTCTAAGGAAAAAGTACAGCAAGCAGATGACGAGAATGTAATTAATCTTCCTGTTATAACAAAAGAAGATGAGTGGTTTAGGGATAAAAGGGAGGAAGCTCAAATGGGTGAACAGAAGATCGAGGGCTTGAAGGAGGAGAATAACAAAGTTCTTCAGGGTGAATTGGCCAAGATTGTATACTTGAATGCGATTGCAGGTATATATAGACATCAATTGGAATTACTTGCACTTTTATGCTATGGGGGATGTTATACTAATCAAGGACTTGTATTCCGCGATCATAGCAATTCCAAACGATTTGGATTTTCGCACAAAGTTTGCTGATATATATAATAGTCTCTTTCCAACATCCAACCTTGGATTTGTGTTACCAGAAATATCATAACTTGAACAATGTTATCAAAAGCTCATACAGATGTTTTAGTGTTTTTCAGTTAATAATAGTAATAGAGCTGAAGTTGTTTAATGACAAGACAATCATCTGACATTAATGTAGCATAAAAAGAATGATAAAGTTTTGGCTTAATACTGAAATTTCTTGAAGGCTCAAAAATGATTCAGAATATAGAATAAATACAAAATGATAAAATTTATGTACCCGTATATGAAAAATTATTATAACTGTTCCACTGAATACGAAAAAGCAATGCGTTTCTTAGAATTAGTTGCAATTGTGGTTGTCAACAATGATTCCAAGAGAAAAGTTTGCCAAATTATGTGAGGAGTTTAAAGCCCTCTCTCTATACCTGAGCAAGATTTATTTTCTTTGAAATAACAATGATGACATTAACAAATCAGGTAGTTATCATAGTTAAAATAATTAATAATGAAATTTGATTTAAACTGTTACGGTCGGGAAATAAAATGGGGGTTTTTGGGAGAGCGATTTATCTTTTCGTGTAGGTGTGTTCGCCGACTGGGTGATGTTACCAGGCTTAGAGAAGGGGAATAATACTATTTTTAAATTTCAAACAGGGCTATCTTCGATTTGTGTTGCGACTAGTCGGTATCCGTCACTTGCTCTATCTAAACTGATTAAACAATATTCGTCTCAATAATTAATTATGAACTCTCGTTCCGTTATTCACGTAATTGATCCACGGACAGCTTACTAGCTTGATCAAATCAATGCTATTCCGTTACAGCTTAAGTGAGCCGTTTATTGGAGTGTCCGGTCTAATAATCAATTATTCGACGATAGAAATTAAATTATGTATATTTATAATAAAGGATTGCGGGAGAATACTACTAAGATCAGTAATATTTTATTTTTATTCGTAACATGACAACATTCAAAACATTACAATATTTCAACATGAAGATTTGGCGATGGAATATGAGCTGCTTATATATCTTTGTGCTGTCGCGGAAAAAGCGCAACCTAAATCAATGCTTTTTGTGAATTTAGTATCGATCATGGGGTTGTTTGACTGCGGAAGATTTTATCATGTGACTCACTTATCTGATTCATATCAGCTTGCCGGAACAAAACTTTCCCCAAAAATAAACAGCCTTGGCATCAAAAATGTACCACTCCTGCATACAACAATCCCGTTTAAGTTAGCAAAAGGTCAAAAATTTTTCTTGGCAAAGAAATTAAAGTCAAATAACCAGGGATTATTTACAAGATTTCTACTCCCCAATGATGATTACTGTATGTAATAATCTATATGAGCTGAAAACTGGGCCAACATCAGGGTTAATCGAAATTCCCAGAACTAATTTAGTTTTACAAGATTTAAGGCGAGTACGTGAAGACTGCATTAGGGATTATCAAGAAAACCCCTGTTGATCATTAAGAAAACAACGTGCCTGAATTAGAAGAGCGCGCGGCAAAATTGATAAAGTTGCATTAGAACAGGCTCTATACCATTCATTCTACCATTGCCTATTAGTGATGCATTATTTACATCACGGCTCAAAGAAGTCAAGAGAACATATGTCCCTTAAATGTTCGATCATGTTCATTTTCCTTTAATGTTCGATTACCATGTTCTATTACCATGTTCCTTTAATGTTTCAATTAATGTTTCAATTAATATTAATGTTTCTTTCTAATAAACGAGTAGTCCGCTATATCTGAAATACATTATTAATGATTCGTTCTCTGTTAATTATCCGTATAGTTGTGATAACCGCTAATCCTACCTGTCCCATGGATATTCTCGTGACGTTACGATTGTTATCCCAGAATTAAGGGAAACTCGATTAGGATTAGTGTCTACCGATTGACACACCCCTAGTTTAAAGGTCACTAACTGTCAAGCTGCAACACCGGCGGACGAATTTCCCTTATTCCATTTCTATACCTCAGTTGTATCCCGTTATGTATTACACAAAAAATCATGCCATTTTCTATTACTATATATATATTTGTGCGGGATAACGATAAGTCGATCATTTGCTTCATTTGGTTAGACGACGACGCAATAAAATCAGGCCATAAAATCGCTATGGTCAAGAAATCCCACACATTTATCCCACACTTTTAACGTCGCACATTATAATCCCTATATAAGGAGTAATCTTCATTATTAATTCCGGTCAGCATTGTGTTAAATACTATATAGGAATATACGTACGACGTTAAAAGTGTGGGATTTCTTGACTATCATAAAATCAGGTCATAAAATCAGGTCATAAAATCAGGCGATAATAATAAATAAAATTAGACCATAAAAATTAGGCGATATTAATATAATAAATTAGAATATAAATTATGCTATACATTACTTAGAAATAAATGTATTAGTATATAATTAAGCGCTTAGATAAAGCAGTAGAAAGGTCAAAACGTCAGACGTCACTAATGGAATTTATTAACCAATAAAATTAAACACAATATTATGATATTGTATCCCACCTCAGATATATCCCCGCGATTGCTTCAACTGCCACGTAATCTATGTTCCAGAGATTTCTACTCGAATTTAAATCCGGACTGTTGTCTATTAAGTTTCGCACATCATTATTAAGAATTGGCTTGGCAATTTGCTGGTATGTTGCTCGTGGAATGCCTTTCTGGTAACTGTAATTGTCTCAAAATTGTCATGCAAGCAGCATCTACACGTAGCTGCCAAAGTTCCCATGACAAAGACGAATGCTCGTGCTGCGCCATACGCGATTTTTTTAGGTCGGCCATTACTTCCTTTTGTAAAACGTTGTCAATTTTAAAATTTCAACGGATTGTGCAATTGCTTTGCAGATATGACATGTGCTTCAAGAGTGTAATGGGTTTGACGAGAGAGCACTTTGTTTACGTGGATCCAATTGAATTGTTAAACCACATGGTATATTTTTGTTACACACCAAATGCCATTTTTGGACCAGAAATTTACAAACTGTTTTGTGATTGCTAACTATAACTTAAACCGTTACATTTCATAACATCGAAACACTTAAATGATTAGTAATCGAATTCGTCAATATAGCAATGTGTTTTTCGAATTAATCATATATTCGAAGAAGGTTTCAAGAAGATAATAAGTAAAGTTTAAATGATAAAGTACTAAATCTAGATACAGACTGGGTTAGAGTCATCTTAAATTTGCGAGTATGACAAAATTGTGAACGAGGAAAGTTTCCCTATTACTATCGCGAGGGGCTTTTAAGTTTCCCTATTACTATTCCCCTATTCGGAGAATTCGACTTAGGTCATGAAAATTTTGTTGCATTACTGCATCAACTGCGGTCACTTGTACAACACGCAGTTATTGTAATTGGTTTTTCTTTGTTGCATGCGCCACACATGGGTATAATCGGAACGTACTACGCTGTGATAGGCGCATGCCAAAATGCTGTCGTAACTTGAGTGGAGAATCAAGTAATAATTGATGTAGCACTATTACCCAGATTGAAACTTTATCGCTGAGTAATTTGTATTAATGAGTCATTTTCTGCAAAATTTTTCATAATCAGCCTACGCACATAATACATATGTATATACAGTACATATACATATATATCAGTAATAGTCGGTCATCTGCTCTGTCATCAAGTCATTTGACCGGCATCGCTTAATCACTAGCCCATAAATAAATTGTGTTTATATTTGAGCCTGCTCTCTCTAACCATAGTCAATTTGTTATTCACCTAATACGAACATATATTGTATTGGACTTGCAGCATACACGTTACGACTACCTTTTCAACTATCCCATTCTCCCCGTTATCCCCGTTATCCACCCCATCCGCAGGCTATCCCGCAGTTGAATAAAAGCCTAAATTATTGTTGTTTGAATCACACGGAGTAGTAAATAAACACAGAAAATCTTCTATTAAATTAGATGTAATGGATGCAAATATAATAATATAAATAATATACTATAGTATACATTATTTTTGAACGGTAACTTAAACAGGTAAATCTAATTAGCTTTTATGAATCGAGAGTTTATATAAATAAAGGTCACCCCCACCATAATCAAGATTTCAATCAACTCGCTCAAAACACACTTCTTCAAAACCAATACTCTCACAATTATAACCGCATTACCAACTCACCAAACTATATTAAAGAATGCCGTCTGCTGAAGTATCATCACCCTTGCAAGCAACCAATATAAAACAACTCCAACTCTACGACATAGCCGCTCAGATCTTCGAGGAGTCTCCGCAAAACCTCCCATCTCTCCCATTCCTCCCATCTCTCCCTCCTGGCCACTTATCTCCCCACTCCCCTCGAGGCCATCTTCGAGTTCAGAAACGCTTCTGGCAGTTTATTATAATCAGTGATACTACTACATATGTCAGTTACGGGACAATAGAAGATGGGGGAAAGCTCAAAGAAAGAGCAACTCAGATTAAACAGCATCTGTGTATAGAGAATGCACATGAATTTATTAACAACATGATTGAAGAAAAGATTGAGAACGGCTATGTTGGATGGGCTGCATGGTAAACCACTCAATGGGAGTTGAAGGAGAAGAAGAAGAAGAACATGATATGCATACATTGCATCTCTAATTGAAGAAACAAATAGACATAAACATTCTAGTGATAAGACTTTTTTCTTTTCCCTTTTTTTTTTTTGCTGCAAGAAAGTAGGAATTAATCGGGCGGGGGATTGTGTGGACGGGAAGTTTTCTTTTTTGGGTCAGCAAAGCGGACAAATTTCATCTATCGTTATAACTTACATTACTTATTGTATATTCGATGTGTAGATAGACTAGTATTTGTATATAATTAATATTTTTCTCGAGCTTAAAATAATAAATATTTCGTCACATATCAAAACAAAGACTATAGCGGTTAGCAAAGAGTAATGATAATATACGATATACGATAAATGGGCTGATAAGCAAACTACACAAAATGGCAATGATAACAATCGATAACATGACGATAACAAACAAGTTACGATAGTGAACACAGCAATAATTAGTACATGCGGTCTTGTTGATTGTGTCGAGAATCCCTGCAGCTAAATATTCCATTAATAGGACAAATCATATGTACTCCTCTTTTGCCATTTGTTCATTTTATTTCTTGTCCCTTCTATCGCTATATCTTAATTTGCCTATTACCGTACTATTGAAATAAAGTAGTAAAATTGACAAGAATAACATACGATAACTGACGTCACATTATTCTCGCAACCCCCGATTATTGGCAGCCAAAGCAATGGTTTGTGTCAGGATAACGTCAGCATTTAAACTAATTCTTGTTTTTAGTTAGTGCTAAACGATAATGATGTAAATACGAAAGTTAGATTTATTCATGTCCCCAATTTTTGTGAGAAAAAAAAAAAGAGTTTATCGCACACACATCCTGCATAAATGCGCGTATACATACTGATTTACACCACTCGCTCTCATCGACCTCCTTATTTTCACTCTCCTTATCTCCGTTCCTATCCGCATCCCCCCTAATCTAGAGTTTTGTCATTATCACCGAACTTTCGGGAGTGTTCGGAATTTACACATGGGGGATGGAATAGCCAAAACGATTACTTTTTGGACACGTGGGATTGTACATTTTATTTGTATATTACTATATAAGGTTATTTGAATCTTTGTAAACTCTGGGGTGGGTATGTTCTGTCTTGCGCCCAAAGACAAAATGAATGTTTGTCAATTTTATGGAATTGGCAAGGTTCAGGAGAACAACACATCTACCAAAAAGGCAGAATAACTATCGAAGCGTGTGAAAGCGAATTATCTGTAACGAGTGCTTGCCTATACCAGAAGTAGGTCACATTTGAGATTTTTACTGATTTTCTAATTCCTGCACGACCCTGACAAACAACAAAATCTTAATCTGAAATTATTATTTATGCCTTGAGATTAGGGATACTAGTACCCCCTTTCGGAAGGCTCTATTATTCATTGTTATAAAACATGTCACCGAACAAGTAAGTTTAACTGAAAAAAAGACCCAAACACCATCACCAACAAGTAATGGTCAATTTACAGATATCTTCCCAACTATCAATCGATGAGAAAAACCGGTTTGATGAGAATTAATTACATGCATCTTTGTACAAACGATCGAATTTTTTTTACACTTGAATTTTGGTATCCGGAAGACCATGGCCCTTATGGAATATATTCAAAAGGTATTCGAGGTGAGCAGTATATATAGATACTAACACTGCAGGATAAGGAGCATCAGGATAAACAGCAATGGTTCTACCAAACGCATAAAAGTAAAAAGTTAGCATTTCTCATAAAATCAGACATCTTGCTCTGATCTCTTTACCCATCCAAACCTTTTATCCTTGTCATCCTCTCCATCTTACTCACCTATACCAAAACCCTTTTTTGTCATACTTATACTTAGTCGCAACAGCCTGATGCCTTCTACTTGCATCTGTATCGAAAAACTCCAACCCAACATCGCCTCTGACTACCGTTGCTACCTGCTTCCATTTCCTCTCTCCTGATCTTACGCATTTTTTGTACACATGTCCATTCAACGTGGGTGACCATGAAAGCTTATATTGACAATTCAAAACATCATCAGAGGCCAGCCCATCAACGTGTCCGAAACTAATATATGCAGACGGAATCCTAAAGAACCAATACCTATCCATAGCCGTACGGGAAGTAAGGAGGAATGTTTCACCATATTCGGGTGTCCAACGCAATTCGCGTAATTCATATGAAACCGGTGAGCGAGGGTTGTAGGAATTCGAGGTGAGTTCGGCAATTTTGTAAAGAAAGGGAAAGTAGCCGCCATCGGGGGATTTCATCAGAGGAGGAGTTGGGATGGATGACTTGAGCGTCATCGGACTCGGTGCTCTATAGGGAGACACAGAGGATGATAAAGGGGTTTAATTTTCTTGCTTACGCCTCTCTCAACTAGTAGACGATGATAAAAGCAGATCAAAAAACCTGGAATCTTCGCCGAGTCCCGACCATTCAAGCGAATCCTTGTCGTAAAACTGGTGCATGTCCTCGTCCAGTGAATCGATATATGATGACTCTTCAAGCAAATCGCTTACTTTACTGTTTGTCGTTTTTTTCAACTGCGAACGCTCTGTCCGGGGCGACAATAATTTCTCACATTGGTGATAATAATCGATATCGTATCCGATACGTTTATAAATTTCGTCAGTTAATTCAGAGAACCAGAGTTCATAATCGTATCGATAATTTACCGGCGCATTTCCCCTCACTCTCAAATCATAAATGCACGGGGCCATAGAACCAGTCAGCGGCGGTCCCAGCTCGGGACTTTGTAGAAGGAATATGGACCAGCTGACAATTATGTAAAAGATTATAGAAAAGACTATGATTGACCACCATGTATCCCAAGACGACATGCGTTCACGAAATGATTTTCTCCTTTCGTTAGTTCCTCCCCCTAGAAGGGGCGAGCTTTCATCTGTCATTATTCCTGATATGCCTCCGATTACAAAAATAAAAATACGCACGAGGTTGAAAAAAAAGGGAGAAACAAACCTTGTCTTTGGTGGGCGGGCTACATCCCCCGTATCTAGAGATCAATTATGGAAATATTACGCCAAACACGGTTGTACTCACACTTCTCTTCTTTGTGTTTGGCACGAGTCATGTGAAAGAGAACGAATGTTAAAAGTAAAGTTGTGTGTTGTCCCGCCCTCCACGTGTGCAGACTCGCCCGAGAGTGGGGCACTATCAAAAGAACGCCCGACATGCTCTTCGTGAACAGCCCGCAGATTGTCTGTGAGGCGAAACGTCCCTTATCTTTTTTGCACTCTTCATTTAGATAATATATATAAGTCGTTTATTTGAATGAGATGCAATTGCGCCGCCTTTCCTGCAATGGGTTCTCATTCTGCATTCAAGTGTTTCGAATATTTATATTGTTTATTTATTCCTTATTACAATTGTCCCTAGAGATAACACTAAAAAGATTGACAAGACTGCTATATACAACAACTAGTATGCACTATTAAAATTACATATAGTATGTTTCTATTAATGTAGAATGAAAAGAGATGTGATAGAAAGGGAAGAGGGAAAACGATTTCCGTGCCAAGCTTTTGTTGGGGAAAGAAAACAAGGTGTAAACCAGGATGGGATCAAGATGAGATCATAGTCCCGAATGCACCGCATGTTAATTTGACCAATGATTGAATTTTAATATTTACATATTAGAAATTTTGTGCTAATGTGCTTAAGAGCGTGAGATGCGATAATAATAGTAAGATAGCGGGGACTAAGAATAGTAATGAAAATAAACGTTAATTAATTATGCAAGTCAAATTTGTGAAAACAAAGGGATGGCGCGATTGTGTCGATATGAAATAAATGAGTATCTGCTCACCATATTATTTGCAAAGACCCCCCACCCAAATCTCTTCTGCTCCTGATTGCTTGTAACGTGACCTTGTTTCTCATTATCATTATTGGTATTCTTCTCAGTTGTTGTAGTATCGTAGACCTCCTTAATAACTTGTGTATTCTTCTCAGTTGCTGTAGTATCGTAGACCTCCTTTTTTTGTTGCTCTGTCTTTTCGTTATAAAATGAAAATGACCATGCGAGTAAACCCTGTTTTATATTAGATTCCACTTCCTTCTTTTGACCCAGCTGGCTTCTCAGTTTCTTCACGGTTGGACTCAACCCTTCAGCGTCCGACTCGAAGCCGGTGAAAGTCGGTGACGCTTTAATGTATTCTAATTTTGAGACGGTGGCGTGGGTGTCTATCGTTAGCGTTAGTGTTGGATTTCGTCTGCAGAAGAATGATTGTCGCGAGCGTGATGGTATATGTGTTATCGTCTTTGGAGATGTTATGTAGGATTTATAGTCATCGAGAAATTGTAGTCCGTTTGGAGGCAAGTCTTCTGGATTTTCATCGGCGACATCCAAAAGCATTTCAGAAAGGAAATCCAAGTATTCGTGTATATCATTGTATAGTTGTTTGGCGTCTTCTAACTCGTAGTTTTGCATATTGTAATAATGGTAATAAATGATATATTATTGTTATTATATGATGATGATATATGGATGACGATAAATGATATTATGATATATAAGCTATATTAATGATGTGATAATATACAATGATATTTTTTGTGTTTTGGAGTTGGATGTGGGGGGAGCAAGTGTGGGTGAGATTCGCATCTCTTTTATATATCGTTTGTGACGAAACACTATTACTCGCCCCCATTTGAATCGTCATGGCTTTTTGTCCGCTGATCTTTTTCTTAATTTGCCCATCTCTAATAACCTTGTCTCAAAACCTTGTCTATATTTTATTATTATAAACCGAAATGGAATAAACTGTCTTTAGTATTTGATTTACGATTAAGGAGATCACATAATAATAAATCGAAAATTCGAACTAACGACAAGCTACCAATAGCATTCATAGTATTTCAAAATCACAAGACTCGATCCACATCTTGTTTGTATGACGAAAATATGCTAAATTATGTGGGAAAGAAAGAACGAACGGATAGAGAAAAAAAGTCTTCGTTGGGTAAGGTTTGTGCTGAGAGGCGGGAGGAAGACAGGAATTAAATGGGCTGTCCAATAAGAAACAGACACAATCCAATAACAATAGATTAAATAGATATGCATTGAATATTATATTGATCATTGTATATACCAAATATATTATCATTTGTTATCAAGATCAGCCCTATTACTATCACTACTACACACATAATCGGTATGTAACAACAACAATGGACGTGTTTACTAGCTCCATTATTTCTAATTACATTACAATACATCATCAACTAACAATCGTTTGTTCGTCTATGACGATCTGAATTGTTCTCCCTCATCCGCCAGTACAAAGAAAGTTTTTTCGCGCAGTTTTATACATATCGATTATTCGCCACATGGAAAGAGGTATGTGCGTCACTCGGGGGGGGGGGGGGTCGGGAAACAATGGTATTTCACGGAATAACGCCGTAAATGGTGTGACAATACAATAATATCTTGTACTCTAATCTTGTACTGGATACACAAGATATTCGGGGATCACAATTCCGATTTTTAAATCTACGCAAAATCAATTAAGCAGACGGGGGATTGCATTCAGACGGGAGACGAGTAGCAGCAACTCACGAGTGTACTAGCGATAAAAGATATGCCTGTATATTGGTATAGGGAATGATTTTACATTGTTATCTTACGCCAGATCTATCGGAGACTGTTCTAGCCTTAGTGTGACTCACGGAGTAATTATAATCGTAACATTAGTCCAATAGTTTCAATCGCCTCACTTTCTGTATAACATCAAACAGGTTCTCATCATTTACAGTTTTCGATAGAAGTGTCGGTAGAGAGAGACATTATTTCTTTTACAACTACCCCAAGAATTGCGGAACGAATCGGAGGAGAGTGTCTCTAAGTTTCAGCACCGAAACAATAGTTCGTATAGTAGGATAACCAATAGTAATAAATGATTTGTAATATACAATCGTCATAATAATAGCATAGTCCGCCCACATGCTTGTCTTTTGTTCCACTGTTTCTAGTTTAATAGCCCTGCATGCACGCAAAATGTGACAAGCCAGCGCCACCTTTTTCTCCATTGTCAATGCCAAATGCTGACATTGTTCACGTTAAATATTCGAGCTTCTGTTCGTTTAGTAATATTCGCAGAGGAATCGAAAAGAGTGATCGAAAACGAATGAACCAGTACTATAGTATTTTATTATTTAACATTATTAACATTTTCAGAATCTCCATTCTTGTTTCTTTGTTCTGCTTACTACCCAGCAGATTGGGCCTCGCTTTTGCCCATGCAAGTGTGCATAGTTAGTTCTTCATTGGATTTCTTTTTTGCACTCGATTGACATCGACTATCAAGAACGTGTAAATATTAGAGTATGATGATGTAATCACAGTAACGAATGTCATCACGGCTAAGTTGTGTAATTACAGACTTCAAATCAGCATCTGGTCAAAAGTAGGCATTTTTATTATTATTATTATCGTTATTATCAGATAACCAATACGGTCACATGTTTTGTTAGTGTTACTTTTCAACCCCGGGACTAGTTGTCTAAATTTTTCACCAATGAACCGACCCGCCCAAACCACTCGGTTTGCAACTGACGCAAAAACTTCCTCTCAGCAAGTTGTATATGCTACTGGAAATACCACCACCACCGCTGCCTCACAACAAGTTTACCTTGCACGAGTCGAAGAAGAGTGGAATAAGCGGCTTGATGGCGAGATAGAACAACTGGCTGCTTCTTTCCGGGAAATTATTAAAGTGTCTGGCTTCACAGAGTTTGTAAGGGCTCCCGGAGCAGATTATGACAGGGTAAATATAAGTATTGGGCGATAGAATCCCGTGCCCGATGACACTAATACGCCATGAATGTTTTTAATCTTAGCAAATTGAAAAGGACAAATACAGAAACTCGCTTGACGGATATGTGGCCGAATTGACAGCTGCCAACATTGTAAATTTTCTGTTTACTGATACGCTTCATAGATTCTCGATCCCTCGTTCAGTTTTATTAAATTTGTCTTTTACTCTCGTAGGCCAAAAACTGCGAAGCTCTATTGACTCTAACACACGAGCTAAAAACTGCATTCCTTCTGAACGATACAGAGACACTTATGCAATATAGTCAGCGGCGTAAGAAAGAATCAACTGCACGGAAGGAGAAGATAAAACGGAAAGTATTGGAATTAAATGATGAATTGGCGGAAGCAATCTGGGAGATTGAAAGTGTATTGGGAGGAGGAAAAGGAGAGAGTCTCGGAGAGGTTATGTGATCATGGTTGTGTAATGTTTGAATTAAGAGAATGGGCTGTTGAGTAGGTGGGCGTTTGTGTGTGGATGTATGGCTGGAGTGTTGGGATGTAATGTGGTTTGGTGTAGTGTAATGTAGTATAGTTTAGTGTAATGGATAGTATGCTTTACATTAAAACAATGTATAATTAATCGTACATACTACGAATCCCGTCTATTCACACGCATACACATTTATTACACACATATTCGTCAAAGACGCGCGATAAGACCTTGTTGCTTTTGTTCTAACCTTACTAGTTTCTCAGTGACTTCCAAATTAAGCTTAATGAGACCTGAGAACCAAGCTCTAATAATAGGAACCTCAGCCACGGGTACAAAGACGCCCATTTATCTTACTAGACGAGTAGGAAAAAAAAACCTACAGCATGAGACCCCTTAATTATGAGATTATATACAGGTATATGCTTTTATCATCTTGATACGAATCACTTTATTTGTTTAGTGGAATGGCTTTGTATAACAGAGAGGATGAGTAATGTGTGATTTTTATGCATTACGAATCCACCCTTCTCTGTTGAATAATTTCCACGAGAATAATGCTTAGATTCAGCCAAACGCTATAACGAGAGCCTATGCTATACGCGTTGCTTGAGGAATTTGACATTCTGTTTATTCCGGTCCTAGATATGTGGAAATGAGGATAGTCTATTACAATCATTCCGAATTCGTCAAGACATACCTTGTGCCATGACCACTCTCTCTTCCAGTTTTACAAATGTACTTAACATCCTATCATATACTTTGTTGTTCTCTTTATTAGGTGAAGCCACAAGCTTATATTCACTTTTCTCATCTCTGTCTTCTCCGCATGCCATCATTCTAGCCTTCATGGCGGCGCCAAAGCTAGCTGAATTCGCGGTACCATCACGAGGACTAAAGACTTTAACCCCAAACACATCGGCTAATACTTGTAATATCGAATCGTTGGCGCTCGCACCGCCAACAACTAACAGCCGCTCTATTCTCTGTCCATGTAATAACCGCGCGCTCCTAGCTTTCATAGATAAGAATTGTGATTCCAGAATCGCCCGGATGTTATAATTTGGATCACGAAATTCATCAACCAGTTCTCCATTATCGAATCTGTATATCCCATATGCAAATGGTATTATCTCTTGTACTTGAAAATAAAATCCAAATTTGGTCTCATCCGGCTTGGACACTAGAGTGCGTAGGATGGTGTTAAACGAGTCCCAGGAAGCGGTGGATGTGTAAGTATCGCGTATGTGCTCGCGTGTCAAGCTTCCATTCTTGTAGCATAGCATAGAAATATATTGGTTACTGATTGGATGGCAGAGCGTGTGGGATTCTGTAGTCGTGATGGGATAAGTCGTAACGAGCAGTAGAGTATCTGATGTGCCCAAAGAGATCAGGACGTCTGATGGACAAAGTTTACGGCTTAGGAGGGTTGATGGATTATCACCCATAAATGGAAGAACTTTACAGTCTGTGTGAGATAATACATGAAAAGTTGCAGTCAATCCTTTTTTCCAATCAGATCAATACGTCCACACGCACATTCACGTATATACCTGGACTAAATCCATATCTTTCGACAAAGTATCTACAAACGTTGCCCATTACATTCAGCCCAAACACTTCTACATTGCCAAGCTTTTCTCTCAGTGCTTCCCCACCACATGCAATAAGCAATCTTTCATCCCATGTTTTGCTGTGAATGTTAAACAAGTTCATTCCTGATGCATCGGACGCGTCAATTGGTGCATAATCGCCGAGGAAAAGCGAAGCAAGGAATGAACTCACGACTGAGATGCGTTCTGTGTTATTATATGTTGGTAAATCATTCTGATATATCTTTGAATTGATGAAATGTCAAATTTAGTTGCGATAAAAAAACATTACTATGAGGGGGACAGTTACAATCACCTTACTTTAGCGATTTGGTTACCGGTAAACCGTTCGTATGCTCGCGATCCAGTGATGTTTGCTAGTTCCTGTGCCCCACCAATAATCTCTTCCAACTTTTGACAATATTCCGATGTGCTAGAGTCTTGCCAAGTAGGTGATTGCTCCAAGGCAAACGCATCTCTCAGTTGTGACTTGAGTGTTTCTTGTGGATTCAAATGGCGCAATAACTGTGATGCGGATCGCTTCCAAAATACGCTTCCATGTTGCTAAGATTAGTAGAAGTATGGGGTTTAGCAACTATATATATATATATACAAGTGTTGAGTTTCACGGTGAATATCCACCTGAGCAGCACCGGAAATTACTCGAATTGAGTGAAATGGGAACGCTTTGGCCGAGAGTTTAGATAGTAATAAATCAAGCGATTCGACCCACATTAACGTTGGAGACGTTACTGTGTGGCCGTTGATGATTACGCCGTTGGAAGTTCTGCATATTTGTTGATTTGTGCAAAAGCATTATGACATCGGCATTAGACTGCTTGCGTAATTTTTGAAACATGAAAAGTGATAACAAATATTACCCATACTGCGGTAATTCTTTAGTAAACCGAACGGTCTCTTCACATACCACGTCCGCTGTATCATTGATAACGGTCAGTTTCAATTGTTGTGTAGATAGATCGAATCCTACATACAAGGTATCTGCCATTTTCTTTTGTATCCGATAATTTGCAAATCAATGATTTATCATGGGGCCACGAAATAATCTGGGGGCTAAATTGTCAAGCCACAGGACAGTGGCTTGACAATTTACGGGAACGAGTGGCGACGAGAAGATAGAGATTGTGCATCTAATTTTTCAAATAACAAAGTTGGTGTTTACCAGAATAACCGAAGAATACCTGCTCTTTTATAATTTTGGGGCATTGCTAGATTTCGGGGAACAAGAACTTTACTCGCCACGTTATACATTACGCCACAGTTAATGTGCCACTCACCCAAGTTTGCTAAATTTAGTATAAATCATTTTGCCTCCATTTTTTCTTTTAGTTCTGACAATCTGGTTTTTGATCTTGTCATTGGTGGTGAGTCTTCTTCAACAAGGTAGTTTTCACTAATAATCTCATGTGTTAATTGTCGTCTGAAATCAAAGTGTGTTACATCATGTGCTCCTTCATGCTATTTTTTGAATGTGAGAAACGAATTGGACTCAGCAGCCCCCAGCAGAAAAAGCAAATACATGTAGCTGCAAGTTTGCTCCTCGCATAATATCATGAAAGGATGTATATTATCTCGCACCTATTAATTACTAATAAGTCTTATGATCAATACTTAATTACAGTTTGTAACGAAAAAAATGGCGGAGACAAAAAATTGTATATCTCGACAAGCACAAAAGAGAAATCGGACAAATTTTTGTCCTTTATCAACCAAATAAATTTCAATATGAAATTCGATCTCCATTATTTTCTATAACTAGTTCGCATCTATTTTTCATTGAACGTATTTTTTCACTGTTTGGTCTGAAATGTTTCCCATTCTTCAACCATATATTGTCTTAATTCACCAAAGTCTTGTGGCATACGTTATTTTTTACAATTTGCCACACATTTTCGATAGATTTAGGTCTGGACTGTTGGACGGCCAGTCCATGACTCTAATTTTATTTTCCTTGTAAAATTCCGTTGCGACATGTGAAGTGTGCTTGGGATCATTATCTTGTTGTAACTCCTAGCGGTTTCCATACAACTCTTTTGCACTTGGAATAAGTTGGGTCTTTAAAATGTTCACAAAAAAAGGCCCACCATAATGTCTGTGAAGCAAAACAAAGGTGTCTTGCCTTTTAAAGAAATTCCATCCCATACCATAATTTCTTGGGTAGACGTCGGATGGGCCTTTGTTATCTTTATGCCATCTTGACACCTTATTTCGTGCCTCCATATGACGATTGGTTAACATTGGAGTTGCAAGAGGCAGAGAGCTATGGTATCCCCTTTTTTTTCATATGCCTTCAGACAAACATATGCGATATTGATATGTTGTGCTCATGTTTAGCTAATAGAGCAAGGTGTCGTGTCATAAGAGCCGAAAGTATGTGTAACCTTCGATGGCCTGCAACTACCACGCTTACGTTCAATGCCTCCTGTTTATTTGAGTTTTTGGATATTCCGCTCAACAGTACGAAGAGGAATGCGAGTTTTTTGGTGTATTTCCTTTGCTGAAACGGCACCATTTTGCCACAAAAGTGAAATAGTTTGACGCTGAGCTTCAAGTCCCGAGCTAACCATGGGATCGCGTAAACAAACGCGTTTTGTTGTTTTTTAATTATAACCAATTTATTATCTTCAACCACCATTTTTTTCGTTACACACTGGAAGTAATATAAATTATCAACCTACCTGATTATTAATATCAACGGCCCCTTTTGCATCTGAGTATTCAGAGAAGAGTTTTGGTCTTGTAAATTTAACAATTCTTGAGCTATTCTGTGTCTTAACTACACGTTCAACTTCATCACCCTTTACTGTTGTTGATGCTGTTGCTACGATGCATTGTGGTTTCCAATCCCGCAAGGAAGCTGCAATCAAATGTATATTATCAATTACAGCAATCTTTGAGATGTAAGATCCATATGTCTGTTCGAGTTTTCAATAAAATAACATAGATACTGAAGCTAGGCCAATCGACGAAACGTTGACTTCACACGCCTGATGATATGCCATATGATTGAACGTCGATCGATGGTTACTGCTTGCTTCTTGCCAATTCACTGTAGTAGTAAGGTCAACCTCACTAGTATCATCGACTTGTTCTTCTTCAGAACTACTCCCACTATCATCCTCATGAGCTGTCGACTGTTCTATAGTGGTGGAAACATGTCTATTTGTATTTGAAAACTTGGTCCCTCATATCGTAAATTACCTGCAAGAATGTCTGCAACAACATTTCCATCACTAAGTCCTTCAAATCTTGCTTGAAATGTTCGGCGAGTTTGCCCAGTTAACTCACTAACAACTGTACCATACAAACGTAGGTTCAACTCATGCGCACTTTGTTGTAATTGCAGCTCTCTTGGCAGTGCCCTTAGTTTGCAACTAACCCGTCCCCCAGTAGTAATTTTCGTGATATCTTCGCCACCGTATATAAAACTATTTCAGATCATATCTACTCACCTACATTTTTATGTGCCAGTCGAAGGACGTAATCCACTCTAATCATCAGTTCAAATCTGTACTAAATTAACTAAATTAACGGATACCCATTAAATTAATATTATTATCCTGTTTGCGAAGAATTTATCTTGCTCTGGTATGATATGGTAATTCACATACGCTGGCATCTATGTTGAGTTTAGTAATCACATAAAGTGTAGCGCTTATTATTATGTTGCCATTATTCCAGTGTCAATTCCTTCGAATAAAACGCAAATGTACAAACTGCCTTCACACTCAGTGGACCTCAAGATTGGCTCAGCGGGTTTTATGCGAGTTTTAATGCGAGTTTTAATGCGGGTTTTATGGGTTTTATGTCTGCTCACTATAATAAAGCTTTTTAGGAGAAAGTTAACTATGGGTTTCTACAGTGCAGGGAGAATAACTATCGAGCTAATCCTTCTTAACTACGTTGTCCCTTATTACAGCTAGATATTACTCCAACATTCCGTAGACACACAGTCGAAAGTATTTTTCTGTTATTCACACTGCTGAGTTTATGACGATGGCGCGAATAGATTGGCGTCATTGATCTTGCATGTCAGTTAACAAAGAAAGAGATTGCATAATTTAACAAGTTTTTAAGTGCAAGCCGAATTGAATTACAACAAGTCAATTTATCTGACTATTTATATAACAACAATGCATACATATCCGCTGAATATTAGTTATGACATTAAATAATTTTGATAATATCTTTCACTTCTTTTTCTTTTTGTTCTTTTTGTTATCATCAATATTAATAGATTATTATTAAATATTACCAATTTAGCACAAAGCGCGTCATATAAAAAGCAAAATAAGCTATGTTTATGGTCTATTTCTTGAGGCCTTACTATTACTATACGTACAACTCGTTACCATGTTATAAGAAATGGTCGAAAGAACGAGATGGATAATAATGTGGCTAGAGTAATTGGACAATACATAAGGAGGATTCTCCAACTTTACTAAGAACAAATTGCAGTCTCAAGGTGATGCAGTTTTGTATCGATTTTTAGGTCGGTATTAGTATTTAAACTCAAGCGGATATCAAAAAGCGGGTCCATTAAATTATCAAAAAGTACAAAGGAGATTGTTGGAGAGGGCACACAACACCTCAATGAAAGTGACTCGTACGTAACTTTTAAGTATAATAGATATCATAACAGTCGAGTTCTTCATGACGGCGATTGTTATTTCACTAAAGATACCTGTTTGTTGGAAAAGACGTCGAAATATCTGAACAAACGTATCTATCTATGATACCAAACTTCTTTATCACATTCGTTGCAATACAAAATGTTCATCAATGTTGAAGTGCACGCCTCTTCATCCCTGGGCCTCTTGATTAGCATAATATAGCTGCCGCCCTTGCAAATATTCAACCTGCTCAATCTTATCCATCAACTTTTCTTTCAACCCTTTCACTATCTGCCAAATATCTTCTGCTTCCTTCTTATATTTATCTCTCTCTTCAATGACAGCCTCAAATTCTCTATATTCTTGTCTTTCACGCTTTGATAGTCCCAAGTACTGAATTCTCGCTTCAACAATATCTACACTTGTCTCTACATCACTCGCATCCAATTCAAACGGATACGGTTCACATCCTTTGTCTTCCATTACCCGTAGCCTATTGTCAAAACTCTGAAGATGTGTTTCATAACATTGAGAGGATATTTCAGCAAGTAATCGAGACATTTCCTCCCGCGTATGTGTTAGCTCGTCTTGAAGAGAGTGCAGCTTCTGTTCAAGAACTTGATCGTAAAAATGAGCTTCTTGAAATTCATTACCGAGTTGTTTTACTATAGGGGCCCTAGAATGAGCGCGGTCGAGAACATTTATGGCGAGGATAGGAGCATTTTCCTTTAGTTTCTGGAGGGTCATGAAAAAGAGATTATGGTCAAAAAGACAACATGAAAAACGACTATGTACATGAAGCCAGGTTAAGTAATCAAACAGAATTGGGAATATTAACAAACCTCCAACTTT